GCAAACAGACGTCACCGGGCTTTGGCCACTCGCTAGGGTATGGACAGCTCAGGAGCCGCGACTGTCTGCTTATGGAGAGAGGATGACAAGAAGGACAAGGTCTCAGGAGAGGTGACGGCACCGCACCACGCTGGTTCAGATCGGGGCTAACGGAGCAGAGGCACTGTGATGGAGGTGGAGGGGGACTGTCAGAGGCATGGGGCTGGGAACTTGTATGGAGTGGGTTACTTCAAATCTCCACCAGGCTACTCTGGAGAAGCCCGCATGGCTCTGTACCCCCCAGAAGCAGACGGGAACCCTGGACTGGAGAGAGGAGAATGAAGCTCGGGGCTTGGGAGACCCTCCCACAAGCAGCGCTGCTGAAGGACAGTGAGGCTCCCTTTGCGTCCATCAACTACGCCTCCTCAGACAGAGGCAGGCAGGGCCAGGGTCTCCAGTGACCAGCCGCAGAGGAATGACTGGGTAGCTGGCCTGGACGGGCTGACTGATGAGGCTCCTGGGAAGGCCTACTATGGGTAGCTGTCCAGGCTGTACCCTACGCTAGGGTCCCACCCAAGGATCAGAGTCATCTTTTATCACTTCTATTCGTCGTCATCGACACAGGTGGGCTAACAGACCAAGAGGAACACCAGGTCAGAGGCACAGGCTGGTCCACAGGCCCATCTGAGGGTTTGGGGGCCACTGAGGGCAGCAATGGAAGGAGCCTGTCAGGAAAGGATGGCCCCTCCTCTGGCACAGGGCTTAAGATGGGCACAACAAGGCCTGCAGTGTGCTTTATGGTGCTGCAGGTGGCATCTAGGTTCCCATGCATGCCAGGCAAGACCTCTACCACTGAGTTACATCATCAGCTCAAGGGTAGAACATTTCAGATGCTCCCTACGTTGCCTGGAAAAAAAAGGGGGGGGGGACCAAGTTTGCCCTCTTGTTAACGTAGCATGCTTATCTGAATGGAAACGTCACTTTTCTTGAAATCAGTGATGATGAAATCAGTCATCAAGGTGACATCCTGCGAGGACTCTCCCTCAGGGCTATGCAACACCAGGGCAGTGTCCGCCAGCTGGCCAGTCCCTCCCCTGGCTGCAGCTCTTACTTCTTGAATATTGTTCTAGTTATGAGGAGGGGCAGTAGCTCAGACCCAAAGCTTTTTATGAGCTCTGAAGGGCTAGCCTGGGAACACCCAGGATGGGCTCAGCTGCTTAGCAGTCTAAGGCTGGCTCATCCTAGACTGGCCATTCTGATCAGAACCTATAGAGGCTATGTCAAGGAACTGAATGGGGCTGGGCTACAGGCCCGAGGCAGAGCCAGGGAGCTGTGGTACTGTGGCCCCAAATGTCTTTAAGCTGCCACTGCTGGGTAGTAGCACTCGGCTTTAAAGACCAGATGACGTGCAACCCTTGATGACGACTGTGGACAGACGATACCAGGAGAAGTCCCATTATCAAGTCATCATGGTTGGTAACTATGGTATTCATGTGCCAGGTTTTCTCCACATACCCAGTCTGACAATTTAGAAACACACTCCCTGAACATTGTGGACCAAATGGAGCGGGTGCCTACCTGAGGCAGAGGCTCCAGCTGAGCTGGGGTCTGGAGCGTCCAGTGAGGATCCTGGCTCTGCTACAAGCACTGTAGTGAGCTGCTCATGACACCCAGGCTCTGGGAAGGTACCCAGCACCCTGAGGCTCTCCTCCCCAGCGCTGCCCCCCCCGTCTGGGGAACCCCTACTGCCAGGGCCAGCAGTGCTGTCCGTTCCCCGCTGCCCGTCCTGGCCACACGTCCTCCTGCCTGGGCCAGGCAGCACCTGGAGGGGGCGGCTTCGGAAGCGGCTTGGCTTGGCGTTGCTCAGCCCGCTCCACTTTGCACTTTCCCCAGAACCTCCTCGCTTGCCATCTTGAATCAATTTGGGGGCCTGGCAGCTGGAAGGCTGGAATGCTGATAGCCTCTGCCACTCTGCCACCGTCCCTCTCACGTCCCCACTACCTGTCACGGCACCCGGTAGGGCTGAAGACAGTGACAAGCCAGTCATCGCTCGCTCACTGTCTGTCTTAGACTCCTCTGACCCTCCCAGAATCTGACCTCTGCCTTTGCTGCCGTCTTGGCCCATCCCCGTCCGTATGGCCCCAGAAAGACACGTGGCAGTGATGGATCGCGTACATGGACAGTGAGCGGCATGAAAAAAAATCACGAGACCCTGAAGGGCCATTGGAAGTGGGGACTGGGCCTACAGCCTCCCCAAACCACACCACTTTGGGCTATAAAGCAGCACCATCAATCATCAGGCATGAACACTTAGCCTCTGGCCTCAGCATCTGTTCCCCACTGTGCCTCAGGCGTCTGTACGGCCCAGGCCCATGAGTGCCTGGCAGGCCATCCTTCCCGCTTCTTGCTGGAGTGAAGGACTGAGTCCAGCTCAGCCAGCACACAGTAGGGATGACGAATTATGGAGGGTGCTCTCCATAGAGAGCTTGTAGGAGACATTCCATGAAGAGCCTGGCCTCCTGGACACATCCTGGGTTCAGGCAGGCACCTCCCAAGTGGAGTGAGCAGTGGGAAGCTGGCAGTTCCCCACTGAAGAGCTGCTGGGATGTATTTTCAGCTCTGTCCTCACAGCGGGTGGGCACGGGAGGGACCCCGCGGAAGACTTCACCTTCTCAGACTGGGCAGCAGGCCAGGCAGGCATGCTCTTAGCAAGAGGCCCTTCTTCCTCTGACTATCCCTGGTGAATGTGTTTCTCACCAATGTGGCTCGCAGTTGGGAGCTAGAGGAGACAATATCTGCTGAGAGAGACAATGATTGCCGTCCCTGGCCCTCAGTGAGGACAAAGAGGCCCTTAGGCTGACCTGCTGCTGATTATCTGGATGGGTTAGTCCTTGTCTGGCGAGTCTCCTAGATGGACACGCGGGGCCCAGGCAGCTGTGGCCTATCAGCAGGAGCCTCTCTCTGGAGTCCTGAGCTTGGGGTCCCAGCAATAGGATCAGCCCCTTCCTGTCCTAGTGTAGCAATTTTGGGGCACCTAGCTGGAGTGTGTGTGTGTGTGTGTGTGTAGCCCTCCTCCTTGCATGTACCCCTTCTTGTGTATACTTTGGGGGCATCCTCTGCAGGTGGGTGAAAACCTGCTCTCCCAAGGCTGTCTGGTAAGGGCCTAACACATTTAAAGTCCGATGCTACTGCTTCCATGTTTGGGGGGAAGAATAAAATTAAGACAATAAAGACATGCCGGGCGGTGGTGGCGCACGCCTTTAGTCTCAGCACGCGGGAGGCAGAGCCAAGCAGATCTCTGTGAGTTCAAGACCAGCCTGGGCTACAGAGCGAGTTCCAGGACAGGCTCCAAAGCTACACAGAGAAACTCTGTCTCGAACCCCCCTCCCCCCCAAAAAAATGCTTTAAATGGTTGAAGTAATTCAAGAAATCCCAGGGGGCAGCCGAGCTCTCTGCTCTGAGGCTGTGGTTTCCTCAGGGAGCAGGGGTAACAGGCACAGCACAAGAACCATCAGCTCTATCTAAAGGCCAGGCTGCCCGCAGCTGGGCAGTGTTCCCAAGCCATGGAGCCAGGACTCCTGCCATGGCCTGAGCGTGCCCTGCAGCCGGCTGTCGCTGCTCGTGCTGGCCCAGTGGCTCCGAGTGCTGCTGTCCCACGGGCCTGCGGGGTCCGGCCCAGAAGGCCCTGCACAGAGCTCAGCACTGAGCAGGCTGTGGTTTGTCCAAGCTGCCCACCCTCTCAAAGCCTTGGTTTTTCCTCTGCTGAAGGAGCCACGCTGGGCACTGAACAGGACCTGGGTCTGGTCCGGTGTGCCTTGGAGTGCCTCACTGTGGATGAGAACCTGGCTTACACTCAGGGAGACAGACACTCTTCACAGTATTTCAGACAAGGCCAGCGTCCCCCCAGCCTGATTCTGCAGGTGCCCCAGACGGGTGCTGTGGACTCTGGGATGAGGCCAACTCAGGCCTTCCCCAGAGGAGTTCCCAGCCACAGGCTGGTGGGGAGACAGGAGGAAACTGTGACAGTCCTGAGGACACTTCCTAGAGGAGGGGACAAGGAGCCCGGTTCTGAGAGCAGGGTAAGAGCAGCCTAGGTGAAGGAAGGGGAAGGGCCTTACTCAAGTGTGGAAGGGGACGTGGGCGCCATCTTATGGCAACAGGGACTTATTCAGGAGTGTTCACAAGCATCTACTTACTTAGAAGAGGAGACATCTTGAAAGTGGCGGGGGTCGGGGGGTTGGGGGGTGCATGACAGAAGCAGTGAAGTCTCAGGGAGCAAGGCACTCGGCAGCAAGTCTGACCCATGTGTCCTTGGGCTGACAGTGTGCCGGTGTCCTCCCAAGGGATGCTTGGCAGAGAAGGGCCCCACTGGCTGGGCCCCCGCCCTGCCTCATGCACACATACCTGCTGGGAGCAGCTCCTGGCTCAGGGATTGGCTGCCCTTCCCCCTGCTGGCTGGCAGGGGTGTGGACGCGTGGAGTTGCTGCAGCACCAGACACTCTGACAGGACAGCCTCCGGATCGGCACCCCTGTGCAGCTGGAGGGCAAGAAGCAGCGGGGAGGTGTGAGTGTCCGGCCACCTGCCCACGGGCACCCTGGCTTCGGGGGACGAGGCAGGAAAGGCAGCAGTCCTAGGCAGGACCTTCTCTGCTGTCCTGGTCTCCTCACCGGGAAGGCGGGCTAGTGGACGCTGCAAGGACTTCTGGGAAGAGATCCGAGGGCAGGATCTGACATGCAAGGATGATGTTCCTAGGAGGGGGTATGCCAGAAAGGCTGGGCATACCTTCAGCCCACTGAGCCAGGAAAGGAGGGAGTGGAACCTTTCAGGCTGGAGTCAGGGGCCTGCGTGTCTTGGGAGGGATTTCTTCATGGTCCCTGGGGGGATCAGCTTTAAAGGTGTGGCCTCAGCATAAACCGGGAGGGACAGTCAAGGGCAACTACTGGGCTTTTGCAGCTCCCCCAGGTCAAGGGCAACCTGTGGCGGCAGGGATTGTGATGTCACTCAGCAAGTGTTCCTTCTCTCCTCTCTCCATTCATCCTCCCTGTCACTATGAAGGACACCGGGGAGAACCCAGGGTCGGGCCGCAGTCCCGTACCACCTCTTACTTCCTGTGTGCCGGTGGGTAAATAACTTCTCTGGGCTTCCCCTAACCATGTCTGTATTCTGGAACTATCGCTGCCTCCTCTACCATGGCAGGCCATGGCTAGTCGTGAGACCATGAGTGAAACGAGGATTTGTGAAGTACTGGGTGTCGGGCTGGCTAGGCTCCAGCTGCCTGACTCCCACAGGATCGCAGTGGTGGCCCAGGGTATGGCTGTGTTGGACCCGAGCTGTCTGGCTAGCAGCAAAGCCTGGCTGGGAGGAGCTGACCAACACCATTTGGGATACCTTGGAGCATCTTTACTTCTCCAGGTGGAGCAAAAACACACAGGGTGGGGGCCTCTAAAGACACCGGGTGACCAGGGGGCAGGCACCTGCGTGGGAGGCGGCCCTTCTCCGGGGAAATCCCGAAGCAGTCAAGAGCCAAGGCTCTGTCCAGACACTCGCTTTACCAGGTCAGAACAGGTGCCGAGAAGGCCAGAGCCTTGCCCACGTTCTCGGGCAGCCGAGAGTCAGCCGCAAGGGTTTCCCACCTTCCCAGGAGGAGGGTCGACCGAGGGGAAGGCATGCCAGTCTCGCGCTGGGCTCTCAGCGCCCGGCCCGGCAGCTGTTTTCCATGTAAATGAAGTTTTTGGCAAAAGAGGGCCAAGGCATGTTCTTGCAGACCGCAATGTCGATTGGATTAGGAGCAGCAGGAGAGGAGAATTAAGGAAGAAAAGCATTTCTAATTCTCTCCAAAATGCGGCAGGGCTGCCAAGGACTTGTCATAATACAAGGGTCGCCTTACCCAGAAAGATCCATCATCCCCGATGGCCTTAATGGATGCTTAGTGTTGGGAAGTTTGCAGATCTGCAGCCCAGGTCCCTAGGGGCTCAGTGTGAGCCAAGCACGGGCCTGGGAAAACCAGGGCAGGATTCTGGTCCTTGGGCACCAGCCCGCCGGGGACAGCAGCCTCCTTGGCACCCAGCTCCAGCCTACGGAAGCCTGAGCCATCCCTTGCTTCCCTGAGGCGGTGTCAGGAGCTGGTATCTTAGCTGTCCCTCCTGGGCTGTGGGACTGGGCTACTTTGTTAATGTAGACTCAGTTCCTACATCTCTGAAATGGACACAAGCTGGGACCCGCTCACAGGATGACAGCTACAGTATGTAAAGCGGCAGATAAAATGTCTACTTGAGGAGCCACTGGGTAAGTGGCTTGTCCCACTTCTCAGTGAGTTAAGGATGTGGTGTCTGCACCAGTAAGTAATATACCGACTCCACTCTCCTCTGCACTGCCCTTCAAATGGTTCTCCAGTGCCTCTAGGATGAATCCCATACCATCTCCATCACAAGGTAAGCTTGCTCCTGGTACCCTGTCTCTATCTGCCCACTACATGGGACGGAAACTGTCTGATCTCCCAGTCTGGATAGGGTTTTGCTGTTTTATTCCCTGCAGAGTCCAAGGTCACGGTGTGTGGACCACACACCATGCATAAGTGAGTGAGTGGGCTCTTCCCTGTGCCCTTCTACCTTGCCAGTGCTGCTGGGCTGGCTCCTGCCTGTCCCTTCACTCCCACAGTCTCTGGTACTTGAGTACCCGCCCCCACTCCCACAGCCCTGGGGACTGAGAGCCCAGGCCAGGGTGCTCTGCCCGAAGTTGCTGTCCTGTTCCCTACTGCATGACCTGGAGCCATCAGCACCTCCCTGCTGCTGCTGGCTTTCTCATGCAAACCTTCCTCCTCCTCCTCCTCCTCCTCCTCCTCAGGTTTTCAGGCCCAGGGAAGAGCACCACCATTGATGCTTGCCCTGGGGTCCTGATGCTCCCCAGCCCAGCCCAGATCTCCACCACTGTATCCTGGACCACTTCCACTATTTTCCTTGTTCTCACTGCTGAACTGACATTCACTATCACATTCTCCTTGTGGCCCCATTAATCTCTCTCAAGACCATGTACTTCTTTTTCCCTCATGACCACCTGATGGCACTGAACGTCCTCAGGACACAGCTCAAATCCTAGGCGGGGCTTCCAGCATGCGACTGCCCAGCTATGTATAGATATGAATGCACTGGCCCCACATGCACCGTGGGTCATTCCAGGCACACACTTCTTACCTGAACTCACCGGTCTACACTGTAAGAGAATGGCAGTGGCCACCCTTCTATGATTGTGAATCTGCGCCAGGTATAGGCTCAGCCCTGGACATACATATTCTGTCACTCTGTCCTCACTAGCACCCATTCCTCAGCCGGCAACAGGAACAGGAAGCATAGGGGCTGAGGGGCCACCAAGCTAGCAGGGGCAGGCCCTGCAGGTGGGACCAGAGCTCATACCCCTAAGCCATTGTCCTTTATGGTCCTTGGTGCTTCTTCCTAGGGCCTTTCTGTTCCCATACAGATGGGCCAAGGCCCTTTATCTGTGCCCGATATAACCTCCCCATATGATAATGTCATCCTATCATACGGTAGGAGCCTCCTCTTGGTGTGTACCTCATGCCACTGGAAATGGGTACCATGTCTTATCTTGCATCTTCAATGCCTAGCCCAGGGCTGGGGTATGAGTTATGGTTAAGGGTGCCAGTCTTTTGGTGGGTGAATGTCTAGCCAACTGGGGTAATAAGGACAGGGCTGTGGGCTGGTACAGTAGGTGGGAGGCAGACAGGCAGATGGGAGAGCAATAGCATTTACAAGTGTGTGGGGAGTGGTGTGCACACAGGCGTGAGGCACTTGGTCTGAGGCTGGACAAGTGGCTGGGCTGAGAGGTGTCTGCAGAGACGTGTCTGGGCTTTGTGGCCACCTACCTTCTTACGCACCTGCTGCTCTTTGGCTGAGTGGGCCTTCACGTGCTTGCGGAGAGAGCTGGGGTCCGTGTAGCGCTTGGAGCAGCCAGGGATCTGACAAGCATATGGCTTCTGTAACATCAGAGAGGCATGAGGGATAGGTAAGAGGCCACTGTTCAAGGCGAGGGTCCCCTACGTGACCTGCCGTGGGAAGGATGAGTGTGTAAGGCACCGGGCCCGGGAGAGGAGGGGTTCTGTGTCCCCATTCTGCCACCGTGTTGGGAGTGCAGGTGAGTTGCCTCCTGTCTGCCAGAGGGGACTGACTGAGCCCTGCAGGTCTTTCTGGCTCACACTGGCTGTGACAAAAGTGCCCTCGTAGCCCGGCTGCACACAGGCAGTGTGGGGAGCAGGGGTACACAGGAGGTTGTCCCAGGCAGGAGAATGAGGAGAGGAGGGGACACCCCAGGGCCAACCTGGATGGTTCCTGCTAGGCAGGTCCACGTGGCACTATGGGCCACAGCCACCAAGGTCCTCCTTCCAACAGCGGGGAACCAGAGGGACTGACTTCAAAGAGCACAGGCTAGGGCCTGAAGGCTGTGTTGTCTGCACGGGCCGAACCCTCTCCCTGTGGCCATCCCACTGCCCTGAAGACAAACAGGGGACCCCCAAGCCAGCCCCTTACTTCTGCTCGGACTCCTCCTTCAGGCTGCCCCTGCCTCCCAGGACCTCATCTCTTCCCAGGCAGAGTCCCAGAGCTTCTGACACAGCACAGCCATGCTCCTGCCTCCATACACCCTTCCACGGCCCTCGGACCCTCTGAGAATCAGACTCTAGGTCGTTTCCTGGCACTGACCAGGGTCTTCCTCCTGCCACACCCCCCACAATGTTCCTCCCATCCTACCCACCCCCCATGACCTCCTCTTTAGCCTGGCTCAGATCCCCTCTTCTGGACTGACCTGAGTCCCACAGGCCACACTGCCCGCCCTGTGCTGCTGGGTCTTCCCACTGTCCCTCTGCTCTACCAGAGGGACCCATCCAATCCCGGCCATGTTCCAGAAGACCAGGGAAAGGCAACTCATGGCCCTACCTGCATCTCACAACTCAGGAGCTTTTATAAGACCAACCTGGGGTCCCCAGCTACTACTGAGGCATGAAGTTCACAAGGCTTCCTTTTTTAAATACACCGAGGGCGTCAGAGCCCCCGGGGACTGCCTCCTGGAACCGCAGAGGATGGAAGTATATGTGCGTGTGTAGGAAATGGCACCTCTTAGAGTCAACCCCAGGGACTGCCATGCCAAGTCAGACACATCAGGTGGAGCTGCCCACAAAGCCTCAAGGCAACTCTGTCCCTGCCGGGGGTGTGGAAGCTGGGAGAGGTGCCCACTGTCCAGGGGCCTCGTGGGGAAAACCAGAAAGAGATGACCATAACCATACCTTGGAGCTGCCACGGAGATTGCCAGGTTAAAGAATGGAGAACAAAAAGAGAGAGACAGCGGTAAGAAGTTGACTAGGCCAACAGGAAGACAGGGGCGGGAGAGGGAGGCCGGCCTTGACTGCCCACCACCTGCTTCAGCATGCGAGTCCCACACACACACACACAACCCCTCACACGAGACCCAACCTCCACCCTGACACCACACACACACACACACACACACACACACACACACAGAGTCTCTCTCAGGGGCCCTACCCTACCCCAGAACACTCTCCCATGAGCCCTGCTCTGCCCCTGAGCCGGCTGGCCCCAGGCCTTGTCCTCTGGGAATGCTGATACAAATCCACACGCTTTGGTCAGAAAGCAAACAAACAGCTCTGTGTGGCAGGCACACTCGCTTGGAAACAGGGCAGCAAGACCCATCTTCATGTTTGTTTTTCCAGAGCTTGACGTGTCGAGAACATTCCTCAGGCCTAGCTCCCCTGAGCCCTCAGGAAACCCCGTGGCTGTCCCAAGCCACCAGCCAAACCCTAGGCCTGGAATCCCCACACGAGCTCCATGACTGGGGCTGTGTTATTCCTGTCTACAAGGCTGCTCTTCCCTGTCTACACAGAGCTCTAGACATGGAAGACGGTTCTGTCTCCGAGGGCCCTGTAGGTACAGTGCTGCTAAGGACTGGCCGCCATGGTTCCCTGAGTCCCACACCCACCCGTCAGAACGGCTCCCCACTGCCAGCAGGTCTGTGCGCCTCTCTATTAGGGGACCTTCTTCTCTCAGTGCCTCTGAACAGGCCAATCAAATAGCAAACAGGGGGCCCAACCTCCTGATGGGGAAACCGAGGCAGGGTGGCTGCTTAGAGTGTGGCAGGATCTGGCTGACACTAAGTCCCTGAGTGACAGGCAAGGAAAGCAAGGCCTACCATCAGCTACCTCAGCTGTCCCCCACTATTCTTAAAGGGCAGAGCCCGAATCAGCGCCGGGGCCTGCTTTCTCCAGATGGTCCAGAGAACCTCCTTCCTGCCGTGGGCCCCATGCTCCCAGACGCCAGGGACAGCCGGGACTGTGGCTGGGTCTCCTATGAAAGCGAAGGTGCCATGTGTGAGCCTGACTTACTGCTGCCCTGAAGGCTGCAGGCTAGGACATGGCCTAGCAACAAGGCGCTGTCTAGACTATTCAGGCAGAGATCTGGGTGTGAGTGGGGGGCCCCAGACCCGCCAGAGACTTCTTAGATAGATGAAGGTCTGGGATAACCCCGTGGGCTTGTGTGGACCTGCCTGGGCCCAGCCCTCGGGGGCTCTGTGAGGGCAGGAGTGAGGCATGAACAGGAAGCTAGAGAGGCCATGGGGACGTGCCCTAGGCCTGGAGGGGGGGGGGCGAGGGGCAGAGGCCCACTGGTGCGTGCCTTGTGGCCTCTGAGAGACAGCCAGGGGTTCTGCAGTATTCGCTGCATCCCTCAGGGACAAGGGCAGAGCGCCCAGGGCTCCAAGGCTGAGAAGGCGACCAGGGGAAGGGACTTGGAAGAACCACAGGTCACTTCAGGTCTCAGTCAGCCGCTGACAGTGTAGCCTGTAAGGGGAGGGGAGGTGGTTTTGAGTTGGGGACAAGGACCATCCTTGCCATTCTGTCCCCTCTGCTGAGACTCAACCCTTCCAGCTTTTCTAGTAAAGAGTCCCGGGCTTGGAGTCAGACAAGGAGGCATCTGGCTGTGTCACTCATCTGCCGCTGACAGACAGGACCTGACCTGGAGGCAGGTGTGTGATGCTTTAAGTTTGGAAGAGAGAAAGAAGGTACGGGCCAGGGCCTGGCCCGGCTCCAACGCTGGTGACTTGACGGCTCGCGTTTCTGAACCCGGTTTCCCAGCCGTGAGAGAAAGGGCCGGGACTGGAGGAGGGCTGTGTGGCTTCTCAGGGTTGACCTCTGCTGCGTTATGGCTTCCAGCTTGAACTAACAGCTCCGCTCCCCTCTCGGGCCTCTGTTTCCTCATCTGCGTACTGGACAGGGTAGGCTTATCCACTGGTGCCCACCCCCCAGCTGCCCACACATCTGCGGCAGAGCAGCAAACTGCTGGAGGTCCAGACGTGGGATTTTTCTAGCAGACTCCAGCCTTGTGCTACACACAGGGTTGGGATCCTCCCAAGGTACAGGCCGCTTTCCCCAGCACCTGTGAGACTGGCATGAGGACTGAGTCTGTCGCCTCTGCCAGAGCCCAGCCATGCGACAACCTAAGGCCACTTCCCTCTGGTGTCAAACGGGTCGAGGGCCTCGGTAGTAGGGTCAGTACAGGGACAACATTCTGAAAGTCTGTGTTAACAACTGCTGAGGTCCTTACGCGCACAGGGGAAGCGTAGGACCATGGGGACAGAGCTGTGGGTCTCTACTGCAGGGGCATGAGCCAGGCAGGACAGGGAAGTGGAAAGAGACACAACATGGGACGGTCAGGCTTCCGTGGTAGGACGCTGGATCTTACGTGTCACCAGCTACAACTCCCTAAGGGACAAAGATAGCCCCAAAGAGCCTATGCATTGTCCCCGAGTGAGGAGGGTAAGAGCGGGGAGTAGCTGGCTCAGGATGTGGATATAGCTGGCCCGCCAAACAGAGGAGGTGGGGGTGGGTGAGAGCACCCACTTCCCCATAAAGACTCGGGTCTGGGCTGGTACTCATGGGCCAAGCAGCGCGATCTCAACTGGAGGCCCTTGTCTAGTCACCCATCCCGCATCCTCACTGAGGACGTCCGGCCACACCCAAGCTATTTGTGCCTGTCACGACTGGAGGACGATGAGGGAAAAAGCTATCTACTCAGTAGCCGGGAGCCTACTAATTATCCTACAATACCGAGAACACGCCCCTGTCCGCCCCCGGCCAGTGTTACCTGCCCTCTGTTATACAGCCTGGGCACAGGCAAAGACGCTGCGGGAGGGGAGGTCTGTGTGCATTCCCCCCCCCCCGGGGGGGGGGGCCTCCACATCCGGGCCTACCTACCGTGTCCAGGTGGGTGCGCTGATGCTTGGCACGGTCACTCGAGTTGCTGAAGGCCTTCTGGCAGCCCGGGTGCTGGCACAGGTATGGCTTCTCGCCCGTGTGGCTCCGCAGGTGAATCTTCAGGTTCTCCAGGCGGGAGAAGGCTTTACTGCAGCCTTCGAACTGCAGGAGAGGCCGATGAGGGGGGGGCCCAACCCTGAAGGTCCCCCCATCTAGAAACAGCACCCCGAAACCCGCCTGTCCCAGCCCAAACTGCCGTCTGTCCCCCCTAAGCTTCTGGGAACACTGCCCCAGGGAAGTGTTCGGGGCTTAGAAAGCGGCCAGACTTAGAAATGGGCCGCCAGGGCAGGAGAAGATGACCTTCCTGCTTCTGACCTTGGGAGTAACAACTCACGCACATACCAGCTGTGCACCCTGGGGTCAGCCACTCCGAGGCACATCCATCACGTCTGGGCATGGAACCCCAGAAGGAGGGAGTCCAGCCTGGACTGGAAGGGCTCCATCCCCGAGAGGCTTTTACCCTGCACCCTTGGTGCTGTATCTGCCCCCTCTCCAAAGGTGAGGCTGTGGCTATCCATGAGGGACCGTACAAGGGCATCGCCCTTGATAACTGTTGTGAGGCCAGTAGTCACACTTGTACACTGAAGTGTCGGAGTCACCATCTAGTCATTTAGCTGTCCTACGCTCACCATCTAGTAGGCTATGTGCTGGAAACTGGACATGAGTGGACACAGCGCGACTGTTAGGTTCCTGGCAGAGATGAGTCACATGGGGGAGGAAGGAACAGTGTGGGGCCTCTGCCCACCCAGATCATCCTGCATGGCCCCAAATGTCTGTCCCTGCACCTCTGCCAAGGCTGGAGCTCTCTTCCATAGCCTCTCACATCAAGTCCTCCCTGCCTCCGCTGCCCTGGTCACCACACAGCTGCCCAGGAGCCTTGACATGCCAATATAATGCCATGGCCCTCTCCTTACAGACCTGACTGTTGTTCCATCCCTGCGGCCGCCCTGCCTGCCCAGCCTCCTCTAGCAGAAGGCAGTTTTCAGCCTTTGTTCATGCAGGCCACTCAACAAGAAAGGTCACCTCTCCTGACCATCAGCTATGCCCTGCTCAGCCTTCAAAGTCCAGCTCAGAGAGTGTCTGGGTGAGGTGGCAGTTCCAACCTTTAGTGTGGTATTACCAACTCTCCTCCTCTGCCTCTCCCCACTGTCTGCCCATGCCAGCCATGTGTACTGCAGGGTGTGGGGAAGGTCAACAGCGGCTGGCACGTACTGCTCCAGTCACGGTGCTGGCGTTTAACTATGTAACTTGGAAGCATGTGACATCAACGTCCTCATCTCAAAAACACTGGGAAGTGACCTGCCCAAAGTCACATGATGTAGCAAAGACAAGATAGAGGCCAAATGCCATGTCAGAGCCTAGGTGGGCTGTCTGTGCTTGCTGAGAAGGAAGGGGCTGAACCATTGCCTTTCACCCCATATCTAGGCTGACGTGCCAGCCATCAGCACCTATCCCAGGTTAGCACCCACGTCTGCCCTCTGGCACAGGTCCCCTTGGGCTGCTAGTAGCAGGTATCTGGGGACAAAGAGGGGGCAGGCATGTTCCTTGAGGGCCGGAGCTCCAGAACAGCTCTTCTTCACTCCTCCCCGGAAGTTGCTCAAGGTTTTGTTGTCTCCCTCTCCCCTGACCTGCTGTCTCTTCTTTATTGCCAGCTTTAAAGGTGCTGTACCCGCCAGTAAGTTTGGGATACGTCTGGAGAGGCCTGTGGGCAGAGGTAAGACCCTGTGTTCCATCTGGCTTATGATCTTGTCCCTAGAGGTATGGTAGGCCTTGGGAAGGGGTCAGGGTCAGATGTATACTCTAGGAATTGAAGGGACAAGACCAGATACAAACTCTGGGGATTATGGGGACAGAGTCATCTATGAGTTACGGGAATTAGAAGGGACAGGGTCATATATACAGCAGTCTGGGAGGAATGGGGACAGTGTCGTGTGTGTGTGTGTGTGTGTGTGTGTATGTGTGTGTGTGTGTGTGTGTGTGTGAAAGAGAGAGAGAGAGAGAGAGAGAGAGAGAGAGAGAGAGAGAGAGAGAGAGAGGAAGAGAAAGAGAGAGAATAGAATGTGAGAAGCCACCTTTGGCTGTTAGTGGCGAGTCGGACTTGGGGAAGAGACAGAGAGAAGGCAGTTACAGAAGAGGACCACTGAGGCCCAGTCAAGAGCAGAGGCCATAGCAGAACTTCCTGTACAGTCACGAGGACAAGGGTCAGAGACAATGACCCCTTGGATGTCAATTGGGTCACAGTACAGGCTGTTGCTGGGGTCAACCTAATGCAGGCTTCTGCAGCTGGGTTTCTAGCTACGGGGCCTGCTCCTTTATCAGAACAAGAAGGAAATCCTGGACGGGGAACAGCAGGGCCTGGTGCCAAGTCCATCCCCATGTGATGAAGGAACCTGGGTAGGAACAGGGTGTCCCCTCAGCATCCACCTTGGCCCTTTGTTCTTACTGACTGGTTTAGGGGAAAGGTTGTTGGAGGAGACCAATAACTCTTAGCTGCGTGATTTCTCTGACACCGGGAGAGCCTGTCAGACTCTGGGGATCAGTTTACCTCTTTCCCGCCGGGAATCTGTGGATCTTTGTCTGGACTTCCGAACACCTGTTCCCTCACCCCTGCCTTTGTTCAGACTGCACCCCTCCTGGGAAGCCTTCTCTTCCCATCCTGACAAGTTAATGTGTACATTTTTCAGAAGTCCAGGATCTGTGTTAATGTCTTCCAGGATGCCCCAAGGTCTCCCCCACCCCATACATCCCACACATCAGCTGTGGAGAGACGACTCTGAACTTGGCAGGACTCTCCATCCCCAAGGCCTTTCTTAGTATGTTCACGAGGCCCTGAAGGCCTTTCCTTCCTTTGCCCCCTCAGCAAACACAGGCCTCGGTTGTTTAAGCACCGCCCCCCAGGAGGAGCCGTCCCGACTCCACAGGCTGCACCCTTCCCTGCATTTGTGGTAGAAGGGTCTCTGCACAGCCCTGTCTTCTCTCCCCATCTTTGTCCTGGGAGTAGCCTGTTACTTCAAGGACATCTAGAGGAAGTGGCAGGTAGAGAAGGATGCTGCTTTGCTCTTATTGATCTGAGATAAGGATGCCTCACAGATTCTGGCAGATCCATGCTTGCATCAGGACCAGAATTCAGAGCTGCTCAGCGCTGGCAAGTCCTGCGATCATTTCTATTGTCTCTACTCAACAACTGCACAGATGAGGTCAGAGATCGGGGACTGAGGGCGACCATCTAGTCAACGCTGTCCCCGGCTCCAAGGGTCTGGTGCTGCCACAGCATGCTGTCTTCTCCCCACGGCCTTCTGAGTGCTTATAACTGCCGGGTCAGCTGAGGAGCTGAGGCCCAGTGGCAGCCAGCACAGTGATGGCGGCGGCGGCGGCGGCCGGCAGCGGCGGATATGGCCCCTGCTGCAGACGACCTTGACTGCTCACTTACTGAGCGATCCCAGGCCAGTCCCTCTGTGGGTCTCAGTTCCCTCATCTGCACACTGGGTGAAAGCAGCCCACTACCTGGCCAAGCCCTCCCCATACTCTACCTGCCAATTGCAAATGCACAACATGCCCTAAAGTCCCACGGAGAAGGTACTCAGAGCTCAAAGAAAGAGTTGAATGTGGGGGCCTTCCAGTTGCGGGGCTGTGGATTACCAAACCATGCCTGGAGGGGCTGGACCCCGATGACTGGGTTTTGGCAAAGGGGGTGCCAAGAAATTCATTTCAGGGAGACAGCAGGCCCAGGCCCAGGCGGTTAGAGTTGCAGGGAATCAGGGCTCTAGAGACAGCTGCTGAGCCAGGGTCAGGAGAAGTGGAGGGGAAGCAGAAATGGGAGCCTGGGGATGCCTTTAATCACACACAAGGAAGAGCAGGTGACTTCTAGCACTTCTGATCCTTAAAAACCTTACAGAACACTCCTGGACAATTACTGCCATGGCCCAGCCCATGCTCTGACACCAGGCTGTTCACTTGGGGTGCTCCAGCATGGCTTCTGCTGGTGGGACCCCCTTCTACCTCGATGCCGAAGCTAGGAACCTATTTCCTTCTCCTTGACCCCAAGCATCCAATCAGCCAGCATCCCGTGGAGGTTCATCTTTCCCCACTGCAGCAGGACTCACTTGGGAATCTACACAGCTACCTGCCTCCTCCCAGTCCACTCCCATGTAGCATCCATAATGTCTATCCTTAACCCCTTTGTACCTTAGCATGTATATATTTTTATCTCGGCATTCTGGCCAGTATGATCTGGCCCTGGTGATACTTGACCATGTCATCAGCTCGCACACCACTGCACCTCAGCATCTTGTGCAGTATGGTACCAATCTATCCTCTCCACACCCGAGAGGATGATCTTAGGTGAGTTCAGTTCACCTGTCCAGAGCCCAGCTATCTCCTGGGCAATGGGGAAGGTGCTGCTTGTGAACCAAAGCATGCATGCAGATCCTTTGGCTCTTGGTCCTTGATGCCTCCAGTGGCATCCAGACATTTCTGTGGACACATCTTGTTCAGGGCGAATTTCAACATGCTGTTCAACTAATCAGATGATATACCCCAGGTTCATCTGGCTTGAAGCAAAGGCTCTCACACATGGGAATGGGTGACTTCTGGGGGAAGAGTACCTAGAGAAGAGGGTGTCTAAAAGCCTCAAAACATGTCAAGATGGGTGGCTAGATTTTTCTCATTCACCTAAAAAATATATCAACATTGAAATACATCCTACGAGAGAGTGGAATAAACTCAAAATACCAGGTATCCGGCGATACCCCTCAGACACCTACCACTGTCTAGTGCTGCGTGTTTCACTGAATCAAGACACTGTGCCCTGCCAGAGGAGTGACTTCCCAGCCTCACCCTGCAGAGGAAGGGAATGAGATTCAGAAAGGTGATGTCACCATTCTCACATAGCCAATCAGAGATCGGATCTGGCCTGAAGTCTGACTGACATGGCTCCACATCCCTAAACTCTCTTCTCGGTTCCTCAGGGTGCTCACAGAGCACCGAGACCCGGCTGTCAGGAGTTACTCCTGGGATTTCAAACCGGGCTCAACATGGGTCCTGATGCTCAGCAAAGCCAGGCCCGGGCCGAGGGTGGGAGCTGCTCTGTGATGCTGCCACACAGAAAGGAAAACCCAGGCAGCGCACTGGAGAGGAAAGCATGGCTGATCCACAGAGCACAGAGCCTTGAAAGGCCCTGTTCCCACATGTGGGGCGTGTTATGAAAGAAGATTAAAATAATGGGGGAAAATACCCCAGGAACCGTGAAGCCCCAGACCATCTGGAGTTTTATAGTAACAGGCAGAGGAAAATCAGCCTAATTGAAAAAAGTCCACTGCAATCCATTACTGCTGCGTGCAGCTCACAGTACGGAGGGCAGGAGATGAAAGACAGGGGAGCCCTTGCTGGAGCCAAGGAGGGGGTAGCATCTTCCACTCCAGGCCCAGCCCAAGGACCCTTCCAGTCCTGGGTGGGGAGGGGTTAGTCAAAGCCCAGGACCTCTCAGGCCCTGGGTCAGGTTTAGAATCTGCAGAACCCATTAGGTTCTCAGCAAGTTGCCCTCTGAGCCATTCGCTCATGAATAAGGGCTGAGACCCTGCAGGAGAACCTTCTGGGTGGCAGACGCAGTTGGCTCTGGTGATGATGTCTTTCCCTCTGGCCCCTGGGGGAGAAGCAAGGGCTCTGTTTCACACATAAGGTGTATGATGACACCATGCATAAACTCACCCAGAACTTGGGCAAATCATATCCCATCTCTGTCCTCAATTTTCTCCTCTCTAAATGGGGCCGCCACAAACAGCTCTGAGGAGGAAATGCACTGATAGATCCAGAGCAGGACCTGGCACACAGCTGGTGCCTAATGAATGTCAAGTTTCTTCCCTGGGGCTGACATGGCCCAAGAGGAAGGAAGGCCCAGTTTCTCATGCCCTGATGAAGAATCTGGATGCAGAGAATAAAAAAAGGTTTGGGGGAACAGGGTGTGAGGCAGGGCAGGGGAGGAAATGCCTCCAGATTTGGCATTTGCCAATGACTTGCTTCTAAACAAACACATTTCTGGTTTAAGGGTAAAATATATTGGGTTACAATAGCCTGGCAGGCCATTCAGAGATCAGCTTCTCATTTTTGTACAAACTTTTAAGTTACTTTACAATGATTTAGATGGGAGAAATGTGCGGTGCCAGATTCTTTTCCAAGATGTCAAACAATGCTGTACTTGGCCAGCTCTAAAGGCCAGCCATCCGGGGATTGAGGGCCACTCCTCAGCCCCTCACCCCGGGGGAGACGCGGGCTGGCCCCGAGTGTACCATCCTAGGATTCCCTGGTGGCTTTCACAGGGTTCTTCAGAGCCTCAGGCTTTGCCAGTCCTCTGGGGGACAGTCAGAGCATGAAGGGAAGGGACAAGCATGGAAAGTTTGAGGACGCAGGGCTGAAGGGCACGGGTCTGAACTGTGAGGCCCCTGGGGAGGGGGGAGTCTAGTTCGGGGCACAAAGAATGAGCTGGCAGCTGTGTGCAGCTGAGGATTCTGCTCGGCAGCCGCTGTCCCATTTGCTACATACCTGGGACCAGACCACACTCCCCAAACACCGTCTCCCCAGTCCCGTTAGGTAGGTAGAGTGACTTACTTCATTAGAGGGAGACACTAAGCCCTAGAGGCTTTAGGTTACAAGTGAGAGTCCTTAATCTCATTAAGGATGGAGCCTGGGCTTGCCCCAGGGCTGAGCTCTCTACCTTGAGACACACTCTCATCCCAGGCTGGCCAGCACGGCAATCTCTTCTTGTTTACCCAGCTTCCAGGAGCCTTGGAAGCCAGCCAGAGAAGCTGGCAGGACAGAGTGGGGCATAGAGCAAGGGAGAAGGGGACCAGGGAGTCCTGCCTGTCCTGGGAAGGGGGGTTGAGGCCGCAGAGCCTGGCTGGACCTTTCCTTACCAGGACCACACTGATAATCTGGGTCAGGCCCATCTTGGGCACAGACCCTTGTCCACAAAGGAGGCAGGTTTCCATGCCTAGTTAGTAGTTGAGGGAGACCTAGAGGTTTGGTGGTCAGCCAGCAAGGACCAAGACGGCCTGCCCTCCAGGGGATACGGAGAGGCTTAACTAGGAGTCAAGCAGAATCTCTCTCTCTCTCTCTCTCTCTCTCTCTCTCTCTCTCTCTCTCTCTCTCTCTCTCT